GCGCCGGCTCCAAATCCCCGCAGTTGTCGCGGAGCGTCCCGGGTGACCTTGGACCTCTGGGTCTGCCTCGCAGGGTTGTTGTGTGGGGGTGAAAGGGGGAAGCTCCTGGGCGGAAAGGCGGGGTCAAAATAGGCTGCAGCTCCCTGCCAACGCATCAAGTGTGCAATATTAGCACTGGGTGCTTCCTCTCCGTATGCAACAACCAAAAGGAAGTTCTTCACCCAAAGAGTGATTAACACTTGGAATTCACTGCCACAGGAAGTGGTGGGTGCTACAAGCATGGACGGCTTCAAAAGGGAATTAGATAAGCATATGGAGCAGAGGTCCATCAGTGGCTATTAGCCACAAGGTATAGATAGGGGCTCTGGGGCAAGTGATGCTCTGTCTTCTTGGTGCTTGGGGGGGGCAACAGTGGGAGGGCTTCTTGTGTCCTGGCCCCACTGGTGGACCTCCTGATGGCACCTGGTATTTCTGGCGTTGGACTAGATGGGCCTTTGGCCTGATCCAACATTGGCTTCTCTTATGTTCTTATGCTTTAAAAGTCAGAACGTAGCAAGTGCATTCCAGACAAGGCTATTGCATTTATATCGACACGTTTATAATAGACGCCCGGGATATAGGATGTCAGGACAGGTGATGGGTATAAAAGAGTTCTTCTCCTCTGGCTGTTGGGTGCTGAATACCACCAATTCCCTGTGCTTGCTCCCAGGTGTTCTGCTTACCTCTCTGGCTTTGTAGACAACCCCCTGCAGGGTCACTGGATTTATATTCCTGTTCCTGTTGCATTGTTCATTGCCTGGTTCACGTTACATGGTTACATTCCCCCCCTTTATTCTGTAGTCCCTATTGAGTCTCAGTGAGGAAGCTTGGCTAACAATAAATTAAGTAGATCCAGGTGGTCATCCGTGTTGGTCTGAAGCAGTAGAACAGATTTAGAGTCCCGTGGGGGCACCTGTAAGACCAACAAAGGTTTATGCAAGGTATGAGCTTCCGTGTGCAAAGCACACTTTTCCAAATGCCATTTACTTTTTCAATACTTTTCCAGATAAATTAAGTAGTTAAGCATCGTACTGTGAGATATGTAAGTAGTCCAAGGCTCAGGAAGGCTTCTTTGAGGGAATGTCCCACCGAGGCTGAAGGACTGTTGTGTTTGAATGCTTCTCTGTCTTCACTCCTGCCTTCCCCGCAAGAACAAAATATTGTGTGGCAGGACTTCAGCTTAGCCTCCTCTCTGCCTTTCTTTTCCCCCCCCCCCGGTTAGGTGGAAAGTTTTTGCCTCTTTTGGTTGTATTACTTCATTAATTTTCAAATTAAAAAAACAACAACTGAGGTACAGTTCTGGTTAATATTGAAACAGTAAAGCCCAAAGTAGTAAAACAACAAAGCCTTGCAAGACAGAGAATTTATTTCATTGCTATTTTTCCTTTTATCCCCAGTGGTGACCCAAAGCGACTTGTATCATTCTCCTCTCCTTTATCCTTACAACAATCCTGTGAGGTAGGTTAGGCCTAGCGTGTGTGACTGGCCAGTGGACACTGGGCAAACATCTGTGGCAGCGTGGGGAATTGCACAGGCCCGCAGGCAGTGGCGGGGCGCTGTGGCCCTTTTGGATATGCAGCACCCCCTATTGAATCTGCATACTTTTCACCCAGTCTTCTCCAATTTTTTGCAGTTACAGTTTTATTTAAGCCATGCTGCCGTGCTGGCCCAAAGCGGTTTCTGTAAAACCCCCCCCCTTCCTTCTCTTTACCCCAATAGGGGGAAGCAGCAGAAAGATCGGGCAAGCAGTGAGCAGTAGGACGGATGATTAGAGAATCGCTTTGTGGCACGACTGAAGCTCTCCCTCCCCTCCACTGCACCTGTGTCAAGGGGCATAGGAGGATCTCGCTGTTAGCATCATCATGTGACCCGGGCCACATGCTGCTAGCAATACGGGCACAGTGGAGGGGAGGAAGAGCTTAAGCCGTGCCGCACCGGCCAGGGTAAGAGCTGCTGCTCCTCTCTTATGTCCTTAGTGGTCAGTCAGAAGCCTTGCTAGGCAACAGCTCCACCTGTCTCCGCCCACTTTTTAAAGGTACTTGGCAGACACTAGGAAAGGTGTCTGAAGGTACCACGTTTGGGACCCCCTGAGTTAGGCAGTCGTAATTTATTTATTTGTTAGATTTTTATCCCGCCCTCCCGGCTCAGGGTGGCTCACACACAGAATAAAATGTCAATAATACGATAAGATAAAATCACATCAGTTAATATAAATACAATTTTAAAACCAAGACGCATAAAAAATGAAGTGCTAGTAAACATTTCCTCATATTCTGGTCAGCTCCTATGTCTTCTTCAGCTGTCTAGGGTGATCGGCCCAGTGGGTCAGGGGTCCACCGTCATAGATGTCAATTGTTGTTGTTGTTGGTAATGGTGGTGGAGGTAGTAGTGGTGGTGGCTCCAAAGGCCTGGCGGAAGAGCTCCGTTTTACAGGCCCTGCAGAACTGTGAGAAGTTCCGCAGGGCCCTGCTGTCTTCTGGGAGCTCATTCCAACAGTCCCTGACCGCAGCACTCTCTGGGGTACATGTGGGGATATAATGATTAAGATATAATAGTTAAAGTGTTGGTTTAGGGCTGGGGAAATCCAGGTTCGAATCCCCACTTGCCCGTAGCTGGCTGTGAGCTTGGTCCAGTCACTTTCTCTCTGCCAGACTGGCCTCACGTTACTGGGATAAAATGCCTTCGTTTGCCATCCTGGATAAGGATGCTGTAGACGACAATTTAATTGCCTGGCTGGGTCACTGCCCTCTTTCTCCCCTTCAGGAAGACATCGCCGTGACTCAGTGGACCTACGCCAAAGCAAACGCCCTCCCTCACTTCCGGGTCAATCCTAAAACTTCTTTCTTGGGTGCCGTGTTTGGAATAGCGCCCCTCGCTTTCTGGTGGTACGTCTTCAAAACGGAAAGAGTAAGTAGAAATATGCAATCTCAAAGAGCCACCGGTTACCTTCTGGTATATAGGCGGAATGAGCATAGTGTATTGAGTGTGATACAGAATGTGGATATAATGAAGAAAAAAAGTATTAGTAAAAAACAATGGAATGACAATAGCAAACTGCAGTGCGGCAAACTGAATGGCTCACTGTACTGTGATCCTGAGGGGGAACGTGGAAAGCATGTTCTGCTCTTGTTGGTTTTTTTTGTTAGAAGAAGAGAAGATTGGATTTATATCCTGCCCTTCACTCGGAGTCTCAGAGCGGCTTACAATCTCCTTTCCCTTCCCCTCCCCACAACAGACGCCCTGTGAGGTAGGTGGGGCTGAGAGAGCTCTTTAGAGAGCTGCCTGTGAGAGAACAGCTCTGAAAGAACTTACGACTGGCCCACGGTCACACCAGCAGCTGCATGTGGAGGAGCGGGGAATCAAACCCGGTTCTCCCAGATTAGAGTCCCCTCACTTAACCACTACACCAGATTGTCTCTCATTTGTTACATTTGGGTTCTCTCCTGCTCCAGGGAGCCCCAAGGGGCAGGTCCTCCTCACGGCGGTCCTGGGCGGTAACCTAGATTGGAAGTGAAGTGAGCTTGTCTAAATGCAGCTAGAGCAGGACATTGCGGCCTGGATGCCTCTGAGCAGGCCCAGCCTCAGGGATCAGACTGGCAGAGCATCCGCCCGGACTCTGGTACTGCCCAAGGGCTCTCCTCTGGCCAGAAATTGCTGCCGGGTTCACAAGAGTGGGTTTGGAGGTGCTCAGAAGTGGGAAGACCTCAGAGCTTCTGAGAGCTGGCAAAGCCTGAGGTCAGGAATGAGAACCAGCCCTTCTTCCAGCCTTAGGAAATGAGTGGGGACTCGTAATTGAAATGCCTGCCCAAGAACCCCTAAATACCGGGAGTGAGTCATTCCTCTGTGCTTTGCCATAGGGTTGCCAAACCCGGGTTGAAAATTCCTGGCTATTTGGGAGGTGGAGCTTGGGGAGGGAGGGTGTTGGGGGTGGGACTTCAGGGTATGATGCCACAGAGTCCACCTTCCAGCGCAGCCATTTTCTCCAAGCTCCAAGTTCAGTGAAGGCTTGGAGATCTGTCGTGGCTTCGGGAGATCTTCATGCTCCACCTGAAGGTCAGCAACCCGACCTGCGTATCAGCTACACACCACTGTGAGCAACGTGTCTAGAGATGGGAACGAGCTGGGAGAATGCGGTTCGGTTCATGGTGTGCCCAGCTCATTACGAACTTTTAGACACCAAACGAACCGGTTCGGTTTGTGAGGCATGTGACGCTGTACAACACACGAACACACAGTGTGCTAGAGACACCAGAGTCACAGAAGATCTCCATCAGACTCTCTTCTACCTGCCCTCCAAGTTCAGTGAGGATTAGATTTACAAGGTCTGAGTTATGCTCCCCCCTCAGGAAGGGGACCCCTGGGAAGTGCTTTCTGGGGAAAAGACAGATGCAGGTTCAGGAGTGTACAGAACATATTTTAAGGTACAGAAAGGGACAAGACAGGGGTGTCCTCTGTTTCCACTAATATTTATCTGGATTTTAGAAGTGCTGCTGAAACAGATTCAAGAAGACAAACAGATACCGGGTTTAAACAATAAAGGTTTTTCATATAAATATAGAGCATTTGCAGACGATATCATGTTTATGGTGGAAGAACCAGTGCAGAAGTTACCATTGCTGATAAAGAAAATAACGGAATTTGGAGAATTAGCAGGCTTCTATCTCAATAAAGAAAAATCGAAATCATGTGTAAAAATATGAAAAGAAAGGATAGAGAAAAACTACAAGAATTGGTAAAATGTGAAGTGGTGAAAAAAACTATATATTTAGGAGTGGACTTGACAATGAAAATATAGATCTCTATAAAAATAATTATGAAAAGCTTTGGTCTAAAATACAGAAGGATATTGAGAAGTGGAATACATTGAATCTTTCGCTGTTGGGAAGAATTTCAGTAGTTAAGATGAATGTTTTACCAAGGTTGATGTTTTTATTTCAAACAATCCCAATAATAAGAACAGTAAAAGTATTGGATATGTGGCAAAAAGAAATTTCAAAGTTTGTTTGGAGCGGTAAGAAGCCAAGAATAAAAATGCAGATCCTTTGTGATGCCAAAGAAAGAGGTGGGTTACAACCAGTGTTCCCTCTAAGCTGAGTTAGTGTGAGTTAGCTCACAGTTTTTTAGCCTACAGCTCACACATTTTTGTCTCAACGCCGGAAGGGATGGCTCCAGAGCAGCAGCCAAATTGCTTGCTCACCACTTTCATGCCAGCGGCTCACAAAGTAGAATTTTTGCTCACAAGACTCCACAGCTTAGAGGGAACATTGGTTACAACTACCAAATCTCAGACTATATCATGAAGCGGCATGCTTAACTTGGTTGACGCAATGGATTGTTTTGGAAAACAAAAAATTGCTGGCCTTAGAAGGACATGATTGTAGATTTGGCTGGCATGCATATTTATGGTATGAAAAAGTTAAAGGAGACGTTTTTTTTAAACATCATGTTATTAGAAGAGTACTTTTTGATGTGTGGACAAAATACAAGCGGTTTTTCTCGGATGAGAGGCCGCTGTGGATAGTACCGGCAGAGGTGATAAAACCATATTCAAGATACAAAGGAGAAGATTGGATACAATATAAAGATATGTTAAAAAAGGTGGGAAACACATTCGTTCTGAAAATGGAAGAAGAAACGGCGTTCAAGTATGGATGGTTTGAATATAGACAAATAAATGACCTTTTCAAAAGGGATAAGAAAATGTTTGGTTTTAGGGGAAAAAATAATGAGATTGAGAAAGCTTGGTTTGAAGGGGAGAAAAAGTATATATCCAAAGTGTATAAAGTGTTGTTAAAATGGTATAAAGAAGAAGAAACAGTTAAAGAGCAAATGATAAAATGGGCGATAAACATGAATACAGAAGTAACTATAGAAACATGGGAGTATCTATGGAAGAATACATTGAAAATATCAACATGTAATAGTTTTAAGGAAAAGTGTTATAAGATGATGTATAGATGGTATATGACACCCATAAAATTGCTAATATGAATACAAATATGTCAAATAAGTGCTGGAAGTGTAAAAAGGGGGAGGGCTCTTTTTATCATATGTGGTGGATATGCGAAAAGGCAAAAAATTATTGGAGCCAAATTCACACAGAGATGGAGAAGATTTTGAAATATACCTTTAAAAAAGAGCCAGAACTGTTACTTTAAGGTTTGAAAATGGAAGAAGTTAACGTAGATAAAAGAACTTTGATGTGGTACATGGTGACAACAGCTAGACTGATATATGCTCAATATTGGAAACAAGAAGAAGTACCAAGAATGGAAGGTTGGATTAAGAAACTGCTGTTCGCTGTAGAGATGGACAAAATGACAAGGAAATTGAATAATATGGAAGCAGAAGACTTTTATAATGACTGGAGAGATTTAAAAGACTATCTAGAAAAACATTGGGAAGTAAAAGACAATTTATTCTGCTTTAATAATTATTAAATATAGAACTTATTAGAGCTTTTTAAAGAATTAAGATGGGTAAAGAAACTAATGTTATAAAATGAAAAGTTACCTAGTGAAATATAAGAATAAGTATAATGGAAAAAGAGTGAAGAAGTGAATTTGCAGGAGGTTGAAGCACTGTGGGAAGCCATATATAAGGGAGGGGAAGGGAGGTGGGTTAGGGTGTAACGGGGGGAAATACAGAAAATGTAAACTGTTGACCATGTATGTTTATATCCTAAATAAAAATTGCTAATAAAAAAAAGAGTGTACAGAACAGACCCTGTCCAAGGTAGAGACGACCTCCCGCTGATGCCCCTCTACATGCCGTCCAAGTTATGTGCAGATTCGATTTGGGGGGTCTGAGTTATGGCCCCCCAAAGAAGATGACCCCAGGAAAGTGTTTTTTGGGGAAATGCCAGGCACCAGTGTTCCCTCTAAGCTGAGTTAGTGTGAGCTAGCTCACTGTTTTTAGCCTCTGGCTCACACCTTTTTGTCTCAGCTCAGGAAGAATGGCTCCAGAGCAAACTAATTTAGGCAGCAGCCCAATCGCTTGCTCACAACTTGAATGCCAGTAGCTCACAAAATAGATTTTTTGCTCACAAGACTCCACAGCTTAGAGGGAACATTGCCAGGCACACCGTTCAAAAGTGCAAGCTACACACACCAAATGCACAGGGAACCGCACCCTGCTGCCTGCTCCACTGCAGTCTCTCCCCTGTTGCTTTGGAGTTTGGTAAACATTGTGATTGAACGGAGACAGTCTGTCTGGAAATGTATCCATTCACGCTGGTTGACCTGCCATGAACTTCAGTTCATGAACCACGAACTGGCAAAAAGTAGTCACAAACATGAGCTCGTGAGCCAGTTCGTGCCCATCCCTAGACATGGTCCATTACATGGAAGAGTCTAGTTTTAAGTGTAGTTTTTACAATCAGGATCTGCATCTCACAGAATTTAAGCTGAAAAAAAGACTCCAAATACCCATGATCTGTAGAAACCAAAGGAGTTGAAAAGGGCCAATGATTCCCATTTCCCTAACAGTTGTTGTATTGTTCTGGGGCTAATACCAATTAACAGCTGTAATCCTTTAGGTAACAAATACATGGTTTCCTACTTTTCTGATATGTGGAGGTCCTGCAGTCTGATGAGTATGGGACAGATCATTACAGTTAGCAGTTATTTAGGGCCAGATAAATAAAGTAGCAGAGAGAAAAAAAATAGGGCAAGATGTTTTAGGTTCAAGCTTGAAAGGTTTGGTATGCCATGAATCCCCCAGAGCTGCCTTGCGTGAGGATGTTCAACATGAAAAAATATGTCATTAGAGATGGGCACGAACCGGCTCATGAACCAAAGTCTGTCATGAATTTTGTCCAGCTCATTGTTTGCTTTTAGTGGGGAGCAGAAAGTAGAGTGTGTGTGTAATGGCTTGTAGCTATTTAAACCCCTGCTTTCTGCTCCCTGTGAAAAGTGTCAGGGAGCAGAAAGCAGGGTCGCAAACAAATACGAACCAGTTTGGTTCGCAAACCAATGTTATCAGTTCATGGTTCAGCCCACGAACCTCAAACTGAACTGCGGAAATGCAGCTTGTGCCCATCCCTACATGTCATCCACTGTCAGTGGCTTTGCACTCCCTCCTTGCAGTCGATTCTGAACTGCGCACAGAGATGTCACAGCCTTCCTTCTCTCACGGATCTGACCTCCTGCGCTTCTGTTTCCATCCAGGATTATAAAGAGAAACTCATCCGAGAAGGCAAGTACGAGCGGCCCTTCCATGTCGCCTACTGAGCTCCCACGAACAGTGTGGTGGACCGCTGCCGACTGGGCCCCTGCGGCAGTTGCACTCTCTCCATGTAGTAGCACCGGGCCCCTTGCGAAATCCACACTTCTCCATCAGGAGCTGGTTTCCCTTCATTGCATGACAAGGTGTCAGCTACAATAAAGGCTGTCTTGGCTTCGGACTGTATATGTTCCTTGCCTATCTGTGTATTTTTAAGACTCAGAGCTTGGGTTTCTCCAAGATTATAGAATGTGTGCAATTTTGGGGACAGTGGACGGAGAGAAGCAATACGAGCAGAGGTCGATTTGGGGGGGATCGCAGTTCCCCTGGGTGAGGTGCGGGGGCGGGGCACACGATGAAGCCCCACCCCCTGCTTCCGGCCGCCCTGCTTCCGGCCCTCATTCAGCCAGGAGGAGGCAGGAGAAGAGGGAGGGTAAGTTGCTTCCTCCCCGGCTCTCCCCATCCCTGCCTGCCTGGGGCCTTGGCGGGGCTTCCTCGCACTCCCACCGGCCTTGCAGGTCCACTGCCGGGCCTTATGATGTCAGGGGGTGTGGCATATGCTAATGAGTTCCCCTAGCTCTTTTTCTACGAAACCACCCCTGAATACGAGTCCGAAGGTGGGGAGAGGGGGGGCAGGACAAGAGCAGCAGAGGAGGGCAGAGACGGCCCGTGGGGCAGCTCTGGTGCCCAAAGAACTGGGGAGGCTCCGGTCCACCTTTCCTAGCTTGTCCATGCTGGGTCAAGGCACTTTTCTTCTGGAGGGGATTTGGAGGTCTCTGAGCTACAACTCTTACATTACTGCTGACATTGTTCAGTGTTCCCTTCCTGCCATGATTGGTACGTTTTCGTTTTGTGTTCTGTTCTCTCAATCTTGTGATGCCCACTTCTTAACTTGTATGGTAGAATTAGCTGTTGTAGATTTTCTGGGTTGTCTGGTCGTGGTCTTGGCATTGTAGAACCGGACGTTTCGCCAGTAGCTGTGACTGACATCCTCAGAGGCATAACACAGAAAGATGGAGTACTCTCTGTGTCAAGGTGAGAAGAAAAATGGTAGGCAGGTAATTTTGTTCTTCTTCTCACCTTGACACCGAGAGTGCTCCGTCTTTCTGTGTTATACCTCTGAGGATGCCAGTCACAGCTACTGGCCAGACAACCCGGAAATCTTCAACAGCTAATGAACTCCGACTGTGAAAGCCTTCGACAACATATTGTATGGTAGAACATGCAAAAATGTGCTGAACCACCTGGGGATCTTTAATCAAATGCGAAGGGGACATGGCTCAGTGGCAGAGCATCTGCGTGGCATGCAGAAGGTCCCAGGTTCAGTCCCCGGCATCAGTTTTATCTGACCTCAGACGCTTTAACAAATACTTACCAATGTGTTGGCGATTGAAGCAGTTTTCAAAAGAAGAAGAGTTGGTTTTATACCCCACCCTTTACTACCTGAAGGAGTCTCAGAGCGGCTTACAATCGCCTTCCCTTCCCCTTCCCACAACAGACACCCTGTGAGGTGGGTGGGGTTGAGAGAGCTGTGACTGACCAAGGTCAACCAGCTGGCTTCATGTGGAAGAGGAGTGGGGAATCAAACCCGGTTCTCCAGATTAGAGTCCACCGCTCCTAACCACCACACCAAACTGGCTCAACACCTACAACCTGATCCTTTCAGCTGGAGCTGCTGGGAATTGAACCTGGGACCTTCTGCATGCAAAGCAGAAGATCCCCCGCTGCGCCACAACCCCTCCTGGTGCCACAACGAAGCAGTTGCTGGCATAAGAGCCAGCCGATTAGAGAAATATGCACAGTTAGCAGCGACATGTCACTTCGCACTCGAGAAATCCTCTCTTGAGGGGAGGCAAGTGTTCACCGCCATTACCTTATATAGGCCTAGGAGACCCTCGTTTCATCATCAGCGTCTCGAGTACCAGAGAAAGCAGATAACACTCAGTCGTATCAGGGAGAGGCCAGTTCCCCAGAGTGGGAGGCTTATAGGACACACACACACACCCTTATCACAAAGCTTTACTTGAACAATTCAGATTAGTGGTTTTATTTCTTTTTTGACACTCGCGGGCCACTCTTCCCCACAGTTGCTCACTGCGATTTCCGGATTTAGGAAGGGGGGGGGTTAAGGCACAGTTCCCCCCTTGGGATTCCTTTAGGCCGTGCACACAGCCCCGGGCCTTTCACTTGCGCTTGGGACTGAAGTGGCTCTTGAGGGGTTCCCAGCACTTGTAGTACGTCTTATCCAGGCAGGTGGCTAGACCCCATTTGCTGACGGCCAAGCTCAGGGAAGACTCGAACATGAAGGCCTGTGGGGACACAGCAGACGACACGTCGAAAGGAGAACGAGAAACATTCACTTTGCGTTAAATGCCCGGATGGTTGTAACAACCGATCGTTGGGCGGGTTCTGTCGTGCGCAGCATGTTAGGATGAAGGCCCCAAGGGGTACCTGCTCAACAAGAGATGTTTCTGGGCGGTCCAGAATGTTTATTTATTCAATTTCGATCCCGCACGTGGGCTCAGGGCGGGTTACGACATTAAGACAAAACCATAAAATTAACCCTTAGACAATGGCGAACAAACTACAACACAGCTATTTCAGTGCTGCCCTGGTGTTAGACAATAAACACAGAAAGGCTGGTTCCGAAAAGAAAATAAATGCCAGCTTGTGGATACCTTATCTTGGGTAAACTGAGGTGGCTACCATTTTGTGTCCTCGAGAATTTAAGACCATAGTATAGATCAGGGGTGGCCAAACTTGCTTAACCTAAGAGCCACATAGATATAAATGTCAGATGTTTGAGAGCCACAAGACATAAATATAGCCCACATGTTTTTATTGAAAAATATGCAGATTTACTTTTTTCTAACATTAAATGAGACTGCCAGAAAATAAAAACAAAAGGGGTACAAACAGATATTGATAATGATATTTAACTTTAGATTGGGAGGGAAGGGAGAAAGAGAGTCACAGAAAGAAAGGTGGAAAGAAAGCAACTTTAAAGGCATCTTCCAAGACCCCCACGCTCCCCCCCAACAAATGCCTTCTTCAAGCCGGCCGGTGGGAGGGGGAGGTCTTTGAGAACGCATTTAAAGTTAAAGTTGCTTCCTTTCTCTGCTCCCCCCATCTGAGCCCTACCCTGGGTGGGGAACACTGGCTGGGGAAGGGAAGACCGATCGGGGAGGCACGCCTTCCCTTTGCTTCCCCAGCCACCCTGCCGGGAGCCGCACAACAGGCATGTGACTCCCGAGCTGCAGTTTGGCCACCCCTGGTATAGATGGTAACAGAAAGGTAACAGGAGGGGCCAGATGATATTTGACGTCCGCTGCCTCACCCAAAAGCCTGACGGAAGAGCTCCTTCATTGAACTCACTGGCCTAGAAGGGCTTGTAGCTGGGAGCCCAGCGGTGCACACGTGCGTGATTTTATTGGAGATTTTAAACTTGATCGAGGTCAGGGGTCCCCAGCCTTTTTGAACCTGCAGGGACCTTTGGGACTCTGACACAGCACGGTGGGCCTGGCCACAAAATGGCTTCCACGGCTTAGCTTCGGTCACATCATGAACATCCTTGTGTTGTCGTGGCAGCTGCTGCCAAAGCAAAATGTTTTTAAACCACCTCTGTCTCTGCTCTGATTTGGGTGGCCCCAGCTACGTCAGCTTTCAGAAGCTAAGCAGGGTCAGCCCTGGTTAGTATTTGACCATGAACATCCTTGTGTCGTGGTGGCAGCTGCCGCCAAAGCAAAATGTTTGAGAACCACCTCTGTTTGTCTCTGCTCTGACCTGGGTGGCCCCAGCGACGTCAGCTTTCAGAAGCTAAGCAGGGTCAGCCCTGGTTAGTGTTTGGATGGGAGACCACCAAGGAAGCCCAGGGCTGCTACTCAGAGGCAGGCAATGGCGAAATCTGTTTGTTTGTCTCTCTTACCTTGGAAACCCTTACGGGGTCACCATAAGAAGAGAAGAGGTTGGATTTATACCCCACCCTTGACTTGAAGGCTCAGAGTGGCTTATAATTTCCTTTCCTTTCTCTTCCCCTCCCCACTCCACAACAGACACCCTGTGAAGTAGGTGGGGCTGAGAGAGCTTTTTCAAGGACTGCTCATGAGTGAACAGCTCTGAGAGAACTTGTGACTGACCCAAGGTCACCCAGCTGGCTGCATGTGGAGGAGTGGGGAATCAAACCCGGTTCTCGCAGATTAGAGTTCGCCGCTCCTAACTACGACACCCAGCTGGGCTGAGAGAGCTTTTTCAAGGACTGCTCATGAGTGAACAGCTCTGAGAGAACTTGTGACTGACCCAAGGTCACCCAGCTGGCTGCATGTGGAGGAGTGGGGAATTAAACCCGGTTCTCGCAGATTAGAGTCCGCTGCTCCTAACCACGACACCCAGCTACAACTTGACGGCACTTTCCTCCAACCCCACCTTAGACCTGCCAGTCGGCACTCGGCAGAGCCAGTCTTTCCACTTGGGCTTTGTGGCTCTTACCATTGTGCCTTCGGCAACCCTCTCGGGCTCCAGTTTGCTTGTGCTCGCTTTCTCAAAACACTCCGCATCTGGTCCGTGGGGCGTCATCATGCTGTGCAGGGTGGCCCCTCCAGGCAGAAATCCTTGCTCCTTTGCCTCATAATGCCCTTTGATCAGGCCCATAAACTCACTCATGCAGTTCCCTGTGGGGAAAAAATATATCGGGTAGACCCAGTCTACTGGAAACTCGGCAAAGATATTTTGAGAGTGGGTATGTTAAGTTGGAGAGGGTCAACTCCATCTTGGGTAGGGTTGCTGACTCTGGATTAGGGAATTTCTGGGGGTGGAGCCTGGGGAAGGCAGGGTTTGGTGAAGGGAGGAGCTTCAACAAGGTATAATGCTGTAGAGTCCACCCTCCAAAGCAGACATTTTCTCCAGGGGAACGGATCTCTTTCCCCCCCGGAGATCAGTTGTAAACCTGGAACATCTTCAGGCCCTAACTGGAGATTATTCTCCATAAAATTAAACCTCCAAAATAATCAAAGACAGTGCCAGGGCTCTTTTTGCAGCAGGAACTCATTTGCATATTAGGTGTTGTTGTTGTTCAGTCGCACAGTCGAGTCCGACTCTTCGCGACCCCATGGACAATCTCCCGCCAGGCTCTCCTGTCTTCCGCTGTCCTCCGAAGTTGGCTCAATTTCATGTTCGTTGCATCGC